ACTTTACAAAAAGTATTATAAGAAATCACAGACTACAAACAAAGACATTGCAAGGGTTATCGAAATTGCTGGTTAATTTTCAAATGTCCCCAACAGCTGTGTGAAAGGCATGATAGATAGAAAATAATATCTGTACTGCCTCCAGAATCAGATTGTGTACAAATTAATATCATATTTAACTTCAATCTTTGGAAAACATTAAAGGAATTATTATGCATAATTTTTGCTTAAATTAGAGTGACCAATCTATGACAGGTGATACTTAAAAAGCTTTAAAAATGAACTCTGGCACAAATATCAAATTATCATGTAGCGCCATGTCATGTAAGCTGCAATCGATTGTCTTTGTTATATTTTAGACATTGGCAATCCTTTGCCTCTCATATCCAGACAACATCATAAGCTGTGCTCTCAAGAACTGAGTGAGAAGATACTTCAGTACATGTGCACTCAACTGGGGTGTAAACTAGGAGAGACAATCAAAATGGTGACTTGCAATATTCCTCATAGTTCCACATCAACCTATCACTTGTTGACACAGCGGTTAGCTAGACATCAGGCAGAAACTGAGGTGAATGGGAAAATTGCTGCAGCTGAAAGAAAGATGACAGGGCGAGTAAGAGCATATCATATCAAGAGAGCCCCTGGGATGAAAGATTCCATGACAGTGCCTCATCATGCCAGCCCTAGGTGCTCCACACCAAAACAGGTAGACTGGAACCACCTCTTCACCCAATACAGTTGCATTTCAGCTTTTATCACACTTAACACACCTGTACACCTACTTTTATCACTTCTAGTTCAATGGCACAGTAACTTATATCACACCTGTCACAATGGTACTCCAACTTCTGTCACACCTAACACAGTGGTACACCAACTTGTGTAACACATAACACAATGGCATACCAACTTGTGTAACACATAACACAATGGCACACCAACTTGTGTAACACATAACACAATGGCACAGTGATATCTATCACAACTAACACAATGGCACACCTACTTAAGCAATAGCAGTATAACATCTAACACACCGGCTCGCTTATCATTGTAACCTATTACACATTGGCTTATGCCAGAATCATTTTCGAAAAAACGACACTAATTTCTGGCTGCCAGAATCGCTTTTGAAAAAAGACAACCAGTGAATATGATGCTGTTTTGCGTCGCTAGCCAATAGTGCCAATTGTTATCTAGCAAATTGGGCCGTACACATAGTAATCAGGTGAAAGTATGTGTATCCCTTGGATCATAATTACTGACATTAACCTTTTATACAATATTGTAACTGACACAGAGATCACTGAGAAAATCAACTTTCAGTCAAAAATGACAGAACTTTAGAAAATCTGAACATCTGAGCACCTCCCATTTCATGAATTTTGACCATGACGATCTTTTCCTCTTTTTCAATTAATTTCTTCTGTATGAAATTCATGGCACATTACCCGTACTACAGAGTAAGATATATAAGAATAAATAAAATAGGTTTTATTAATTGTTTTCTTCATTTGTTTATTGGCTTCATTACAGCCCAGTCCAGAAATGTCCAAGCAAACAGTTAGCATGATGACCACAGGACAGCTGCTTGACCACCTCTACTATCCTAGGGCAGTGTTCAAGGGAAAACCTGTCAAAGCTTCAAAGACTGGAGAGGAATCTCCTAGTGCCATATTCAAGGAAAGGCCTGTTAAAGCTTCAAAGACTGGTGAAGAAACTCCTAGTGCCATACTCAAGGAAAGGCCTGCCAATGCTTCAAAGACTGGAGAGGAATCTCCTAGTGCCATATTCAAGGAAAGGCCTGTCAATGCTTCAATAACTGCTGAAGAAACTCCTAGTGCGGTACTCAAGGAAAAGCATGTCATACCTTCAAAGACTGAAGATGAAAGTCTGGAGAAGAAGGGGGTGGTGCCGTTCACACAGGGTCTGGTTACACTTGAGAGCTGTAAGGCAAGCCAAGATACCTTACCAAACCTAGTGTCTGCTAAATCAGAAGAAACTGAAACAAATATCAAGGAGATACCTTCTAAAGCAGACCTATCAAAGCAAATTACTCACAGATTTGACAGGTGGAGATACAAAAAAAATTTACCTTCCTCAAAACCATTGATTAAAGTTGCTACAAAGAGTGCTAATCCAACACATTTATCAGGTACCAATGGAAAAAGTGTGTTTGATGAACCAGTCGTCACAGTCAGTCCTTTTATCTGCCCCAGATCAGGGTTATCCTCTAGAGGTCGCAGGACAAGTGATCCGCAGACGTACTGGACATCACATGACTTCCATGGTGGAGAAAGAAAACTTGTGTCAAGTCAACCATCTCAAAATGGAGGGAAATATGCCAGGAATTCCACATTCAATGAACTGCCAGAGGTTGTGAAAAAATATTCCACACTAACAAATCATGAAATAACACATTTAAAAAAGAGGTTGAAATCTCCAAGATACTAAAAAAACTAACTGAAGGAGAAAACATTGTATAATCCTTAATTCTTGGACAGTCACATACTGAAACAGAAATGCTGCAACTAACTAATAATACAACTAAGTACGTAAACCATGAAATCATTTATTGTGACAGAAAATACAGCATGGTTGACAATACAACTGAGTATACATGCATGGAAAGCATCTTAAATACCAGTTGGTGTACTTCATTTTTTATCCAAGTCCTGTTGTGCTCTTCTGATAAGATAAACGCTATATGCTGAAAAATGCTCAATGTCTTGGAAGTAGCAACCAATACAAGCTAATTTTGATTCTCTTGGCCTGAAGAATGCAGTTCAGCAAAAAAAAAAAAAAAAAAAAAAAAAAGCTTACAGGAAAAAACATTGCAGGTTTGGTGTTCTGGCCACCTGACTAAATGCTAAACTGGTCTTTTCATTCTTATATCAGTTTATCTCATGTGAACTCCTCTTTTTTTCTGATTTCAGAATTTTTACCAAATGTTTTCCAAGTTTACTAGTATTTATTGCCTTAAGGTTACAGGACAGATTGCATGGTGGAAGGAAAATTGCACCATAAAATCAGGATCACAATGAAAATGGTATAATAAGATGGCTGTTGTCATTTACAACAGGAATATTTATATTTGCTTCTTTCACAAGTGAAGCTTAATGTGACATATAATGGAGACTGACAATATTGCACAGTTGTGTTTACAAATGTACATACTACTGACTGACATGAACATGTTCTGCTTGCTTGGATAGAATAGAATGGTAAAATAGTAATAAACTGGGAGTTTTAAAAAGCACTGCAGTCAATCTTTGTCTTGATTAAGAGATCTTTATTAACAAAATAATATAGACATATATACATATAACACATGGTACGAACATTTTACTTTACATGAGCAATGTTGTGCTGAACAAACAAACTCTGAAGGATACCGTTATTTTGATATTAAAGTTCAATGGTTTCAGTAAGTTATACATTTCACATCTATAAATTAAATTTCATCTAAATTAATCCTTATCATATATAATATAATATAATATAATATAATATAATATAATATAATATAATATAATATAATATAATATAATATAATATAATATAATATAATATAATAGGGCTAATGAAAGCATACATGTACTGGTAAGCATGGGGCTTATCACAATTTATTGTGCGTCATGTAAAATATGATTCCACATCACTGTGTAGTGACATAATAGGCTCTAGAGAGAGATACCCACATAGCTCAGCTTCATTTATTGGACCATTTCTCAGCAAAGCAGACATGTAGTTCTAAGCTACATGAAATTTATATTTCTGCAGTGTTTATGAGCTTTTTTAGTGCTTCTGCATGTCTGCTTATTCAAAGTTAATACAGTGATATGGGGTATAATACCCATTAATACAAGTTAATCACAATAAATGCACAAAATCATGCTGGCTACTATACCCGTGTGTTGTGTGTAGTGTTACAGGCACTGTTCTATGGCTAAATCTGCATACATTGTTACTGCACTTCAATGAATGTGCGCAAAAGTATACAATAACCGTGCAGTAAAAGTAAATTGAGCATAGTAGAAGTTTTATCCAGACAAACATGGCGGATTATTCCGACAAACATGGCGGATAAAATTTCTGAATGTAGTGAACAGCCCAAAAATTCAATTTCAAAAAACTAGTTAAGTTATTATAAGAGAGTCTAGACCAAAACAAAAGACTGACAATTAGATTAAAACACAACCATAATGGGCTGTCAGTGCATCAAAGGAAATCTCTAATAATGAGGAGACATAAGTGCCCAAACCACGTGCTTCGGCTCGCACATCCAAGGACACCTCGAATGAAGGGAATGCTGATCTTTTAGGACAGATTCTCCAAAAAATGGAGCAAATGCATAAACAGGTTAATGCGTCCTTTGGAAGTAGACAAAGACGATTTGTTGGCCCACAGCGACGAAGAGTCACTAGATATGGATGTGGAAATTGACAAACTGTTGACAAATGCTGAGTGCGACAGTAAAACGGAAGGAAATGTTATTATTGAAAAGATTTCCCAAGAACTGATTGATGAAGACGTGACATCTCCCAGTATTATGCCAGAATTGGCTGACATTCTCAACAAAATCATGTTAAAAAGTATTTCAAACGAGAAAATCAAAGAACAGTTAGAGAAGTTTCAACTCCAGGGAACTTGGGGAGCTAAAAGGGAAATGGAACTTTGTGGTAAGAGGAGGATTGTGTTTATCAGATTCAGTTTCTGGAACATTAAACATATTTTTTGACTAATATCTAGTCAAGCTGAAGGCCATTGTGAGCAAATGTCATTTTACATAGACAACATGACAAAAGACAAAAGGCTGTAGGAGAGGCTATTGAGGGAGTAAAGAATATGTATGACTGTACCTACTTTTTAAATTCTAAACAAGTGAGTGTACACTTTTAAAAGATCTATTAATTGTAATACTGAACTAGCATAATAGCACTGTTAAATTACAATAGCCCACCAGTCTTTACAAATGTTTTCTGTCTTAATATGAGTGAAACCAGTGAGGTGAATGACCATGACAGGAAGGGCTCTGAACCAAGAGATAAACGCCTATTTTCAGAATTTTGTAACTCTACTGGCGAAGCGTCACATTTCATCATGAACAAATTATCGGTAATCAGAACTGAATAAAAGNTTATCGTGTTATCGGTGCTGCATATATGTTGAAAAAAGTGAAAAAACAGCATAAATTCCCTAAGAGTGACCCGATCATGCTGATTTTCGAACTTGACCTGCGTATTATGAATATTCATCAGTTCTGCAAGTTTCAAATCAAAAGGCAAAATGGTTTTCCACTTATCGTGTTATCAGTAAAAGTGCACGGCGACGGCGACGGCGACAGCGACGACGGCGACGACGGCGACGACAGACGCAGATGATGGCTATATGTACAGACACATCTGTGTCTGTACATAAAAAGCAAACAATAAAGAAAGAGAAGTAGGTCGAGTGAAAAATATGGTGGAAGAAATGGTGAAAGGTATGACAGAAATGATAGAGTAAACTAACTGTTGCAGCTAGTACGCTAAAGGTGAACCTTATGAGATAACATTAGGCTTCGTACATCTAGACACATCTGCTGGCTTCAAGGCTGCGTGGAAAGAATTTGAAAGAAGATATGGTGATTAAGACCAAATCACTACATCATACATAAACAGTGCGTTGCAGTGGCCAGTGATATGTTGCTCTGGACAGATATGGCATATTTTTAAGAGAATGGGAGTAACAGTAAAGGAAATAGATGTGATCTGAGTCCTTGAGTACCCTGATAATCTTAAGTGGTTAATGACAAAGCTACTACTCAGACTGCATGACAAGTGGAGGAGCATTGTGTACGAAAGGAAAGAAAAAGGACAAAAAATAACTTTCCACTTATTTGTAGATTTCGTTCAGAAGGAAGCAAGGAAATTGGCCGACCCCATGTCGTGATTTGTTTTATTGAATTGGTTTTCATTTCTTATTTGACAATGTCTTTTTGAGCTTATCTTTCTGATTTTAACCAAAATGAGGAGTTTTAAGGACTGTCTTGGCAAGAAAAATGATACTATATCTGACATAGGTACTAGCATACATGTAGCAGACTTTTTTTTGGGATAATAATAATGATAACTAAGTGGCATAGAATTGGTTTGTAAGCAAAAAGTGATTTCTAAACATCACAATGCCATGTTCAAGATATTACAACATGTATTTGTTTCTTTTTCAATTATATTAAAATTAAAGAAATGACAAGAAGGAAAGTTATTAAATTTCTTAATTCAAATTCTATTATGAAATAGGTTTTCAATGGTAACGGTAAGTGTAATTGGTTCTACACATTGTAGTTTTACCAGAACACGGCTTACCTCTGTACCTGTGCTTATTTAACATGATAATAGACCCTGACAATTAGTTGGGTAGTGGGATTCACAGTTTGTTCACCTCATATTATCTATATGCACTTGCTGATTTCAATGACATTCTAACAAGTTTCATTGCATCACAGACATTTTGTCTGATGATACTTTTTGATTGAACTAGATTTGAATTCTAAAATTAATTGTAAATATGCATTTACAGCGTACTTGTTGCACATTCCGAAAAAAGGTCACCATTTTGGGGCCCTATAGTTCAAATCAATACATCTGACACATAACCTAAAGGCAGACTAAATTCAAATTTATTGGGTTAGTACTTTAAGGAAAGTCTGAAATCAGCCTGTTTTCACTTGGTGTGCTGTGTGTGTGCTACAACACTGCTTTTTATTGAATACTCTGGAAAATCATACATGAAATGATTTAACCATTCTTGTATGTTATTTGGATCTTTCTCACTTCCACATTATATCTGTATGTATATTATTAAAATGATACCTAATAAAGGGGCAGTATCATTTTAATTCGGAGTTAAATTAATTCAAATGTACTTTTCTGGGGCTACCAATCACTGCTTCTAAATGAGAATGCATATCGGTACATTTTGTACATGTACAGTGTGTATATAACATTTATAAATACATGCTTTTCATTTCAAAGTGAACTTATTTGAAATTGTGTAAAAATAATCATTACTTTCTGATAATGACGTAATCCGTCATTGTCTGTCATTGGCTGACAATATTTTATAAATCCACATTTTTGAGATAAAAAAATAATAAACAGCTGTTATAACGGTAGGTGGGTGAAATGATAGAACCAGTTGATGCAAGGATCGTTTCTCGGGTGATGGAGCTGACCAAAAATGGTGTTCGTCGAGTTGGCACAATGCGGAAGCTTGTCCATGAATTTGTGAAGAATGAGCTATTCCATGGTGAAAATATACCCCCATGGTCACGTAGAAGGTTGGTAGTCAGAATTATTACTTAAGTCACTCTTCATAACACACAGCATCTGGACTGCGTCATTAATGTATTAAGTGAAACACGTTTTTTGTATTGTTTTGTTTTACAGAACAAAAAAAGATTGAACAATGTGAAGTTTAAAAATTAAAATGTTTATCAATACTTAAATATGCACAATAACTTAGTAAGACACCGTTCCCACAACCACATCAGTCTATGTGGATCGATCTTTCTCCTCAGGGTCACTGTTTAGATTGTACATGTAGTGCATAGTAATGTGCACCAATCAGTAGGACCATACTTTTTTTCTTCATAGGTTCTTTCCAACCAACAAAGACCTAATAAACATTATGGCAAAGGCAAAAAAAGGGTTTAGTGACAAAGACCAAGAAAACCTCATGGTATTGGTCACAAAATGGAAAGAGGAAAACAAAGAAGATAAATTCTTTTATAGACCATGTCAAGCTGAAACAGGTTAGTGTTTTAGAATTTGCATTCTCATGCTCATTTACAAATATACTGATATTGATCTACATATATATTAATTGATAGGTTTTTGGTGCAATGGAAAAAATCTATATTTATTTGGTTATGTGTACTGAACTGGACTACTAATATCCTGATGTAACATAAACTGCACCTGAATCAAGAACATTTTACTCTTATGTATCCTATGACTACATGTAAGTGAGTACATGTAACTACGTCAGAAAAATGTACATGATATACCGTTTATTTAAGTTGATTAACATTTTAAGTTGCTCAGTACCTGTGTTCGTTTTTTGCAGATTCTAGTGAGAAGGTTGATTTTCTTTTTGCCTATCAATCCAGTTGGCAGCAACGCCTTCTAAACTTATAATGGAGGAGAACTTGTTTTGTTAGATGAAAAATTGCATGTTCTGCAAATGAATGCAACTTTCAAACTGCTTTAGAGGAATTGAAGAAAAGTGTTCCATGGAGGGAATCACAAAGTCTAAGGAATTGGTTTTCCAATAAATGGTTGCCAGAGGCTAAAGTAGTTATCATAAAGAAATAATTATATGTTTTGGAACAAGAAAATTGTATTTTTCCTTTTTAAAATTTTATTTTATTTATTTATTTTTTGGAAATAATTTGACCTTTTTGTCCTCTTATTGAAGCCAGGAGGACAAATTAAATTCAGCCTAGTAGATTCAGGCCAGAACTTGCAGTGCCAAAAAGGTTGTTCTTTCAACCATCTGCATGTCTGCGCCTGCTTACAGGCCTGTACAGTATTACCGATTGGAATGTACACTTTAAATAAACTTTTCTAATGTTAATAAATTAATTTCAGCGGTGGGTGAACTACTTCAAAGCAAGATCTCTTGATATAGCTGTCTACACAGACAATGGAGTTGAGCAACAAAATGAGACGCTGAAATACTCCTACCTTCAGCAGCAGGGGCGTAACCAGGCATACGCACGGATGCACTGTGCGTACAATTTTTTGAGCCAACCATGAAATTATTCTCCATAAATTCAGTGTATTTTTCAAGGAATATAATCGTACCCGGGGATTTTCAAAATCTGTGCGTACAATTTTAAATGGTCTGGTTACGCCCCTGAGCAGTACAGTAGGAACTCTGTTTCTTTATTGGAACTGTTGACAGTTTTGATAAACTCCTTTCTGCCAGATTCATACCACAGGTTAGTATACTTGGAATATGAATAATTTATTGCTTGAATGTTTCAACTCTGATACATAATGTTTATACATGTAGTTGTACACTGAAATTCACTTTCTGACTTGCAGTAAACTCACATTTCAGAAATACATGTATATGTCCCAAGTACATGGATAATACATTGTTAATATTGAATATTATAATGTTATTTTAGGTACATTGAGTTAAATGTGAGGTCTTCAGATGTTTACAGAAAGTATTCTGCCCAGCTTCCTCCATTTCTCCATAACAGGCCTAAAGATTTTGTGAAACTGGTAAAGAAGAATCTTGATGAAGATTCATCTGATGACTGCTTTTAGATGTTGAAAAAGATAACACTAAATTATTGAATTGGTCATATGACACTTATTTTGCATTACTGCTGGCTACATACACCATGCACCCATTTGCTTTATGATTTAATTGCAGCATGCTGGTTTTTAATTGCCAGATTAGTCATTTAAGGAGCTACCTGAAGGGGAGACAGTTGTATTCAGCAGAAATCCATTAAGAGCATTAACAAGTGGTTATCACATACCACCACTCCCAGACAACCTTTGAAAATGTTTAAGAAAATGATCACTTTCGTAAATTTGACAAAAAAACGATGTCTCCAGTGGTTGTTCACTGAAGCACATTGTTTTAGATTCTTAGCATGAAGTCTATAATTGGTATAATTGTTTTCGGTTTTTCAGGTATCTTCAAAGTGTCAAAAGCCTCTGGGATGTCACACATTGTCACCTTTGGGAAAGATGGGTCATCAATGCCTTCATGCACATGCTTTCACTGGAAAATGAGCAAATTACCTTGTAGGCACTTTTGTTCTGTTTTTAAAAGTGCAGAATTTGCCTGGTCATGGGATGATTTGAATATCACTTATAGAAGGCTCCCCATACTCAGTTTCGACAACAACTTACTTAAAAGTGTTGAGGGGGAATGCAGTGAACATTTCACGGAGTCAACTGAGTCAACTGAGTCAACTTACTCACCAGATAGCATTCCCACATACAGTGACATCACAACAAGAAGACCCAAAAGAAAATTGCTCATTGATAAGTGCGCTGGCACATTAAAATCAATTAAGGACAAACTGTATAATATTAAAGATATGGATTATTTAGAGGAGCTTCGCGAGGAACTCCTTGCTATCGATGTGCAATTAGAGGCCCATCTTCCAAGCCAAGATGGTATCACCACCATTCTTACTCCCAAGCAAAGGAAAACATGCCAAGACGACCACTCGGATTTTGCCCCTTTGCCGAAGCGTTACTGCGAAAGGCCTTAACAACAATCAAGAGTAGGAAAACTTGCAGAACAGATGCGCAAAAGCTACAATGTAAATGTCCCATTGAAATTTGAAGATGTCAGCACACCAAAAAACAAATGCCCAGAAAACATAGATTTGCATGAACCAGTAGAACCCCATGTGATACCAGCTGATATACCTGTGGATGCAATACCTGAAGTGATTGAAGTGGATGACCAAACTGATTGGACTGATGCTGGTGATGTGCAATGGACAGAAGTAAATGGGCAAATACTAACCAATGAGGATAGAGACATTATATTGTCAGAAAAAGGTTGGCTTGATGACAAAATCATCAATGCCAGTTTATCTATTCTTTCAGATAAGTTCTATAGTATTTGTGGTTTTGAGAACACATTAAATTTAGCAAGTGCAATCGGTACCAAAATAACTTTGGTTTGATAAAATTGAAAGATTCTTTTTGAGGACCACTATATTATTAGGTGAAAGTGAATACCTTTTGGTGGGAAATTATGATCAATCCGTTTCCATTCAGTTTTCACATTACGATTTCAAGGTATAATTTGTTTTATTTATTGATAGTTTTTTACTGATTACTACTATATCATATAAAAGGAAATTAAGCAATTTGAACAATGGAATTATTTCCATTAAATACTCACATGGCTCTTTTGAAATTAATTTTAAAAATAACATCCATTTTATTTACAGACATCAGTCAAGCTGGTCCTAGTACAAAGTCAGAGGAAACAGTCAGATATACAACAACAGCAGCCAAGTACCCAAAGAGCTTATCTGTCCTGGACATGTTGAAATTAGGAAGGGCCATAACAGAAAAAAACGAAATAGTAGAGGTCTTTCGCTTTGATATTTCCACCATGAGATGGTCTAAAATGGACCAAACTGTTTACCTGTGTATTGAGAAAACCCTCTTTGCCAGTGGTGGGTTTAGATTTGCCCACAAGGCATAAAGTGTCACCCCAGGCTTCAAAGGGCAATCCTGGGTGGTGAAAAAATATGTGAAAGATGCAATTGATATCATCAAAGACACCAACCAAACAAAGGAACAGCACACAAGGAAGGTAGTCCAAATGCACAAACTTGCAAGCAACATCTCAACAAAGTTATCTCAGAAGTTGGAGGAATTGAATGTCATTAATGAATATGGTCAAACTTTGAAGTATAATGACATTTTTTGGGGAAGGTTGTTAGATAGTGACGATTGGGTAACAATAGAAGAGTTCATTCCTGGGGAATTTGTTAAGTACATTAACAATGATGGCACAATTATTAACCATCATGATAGCGTTGCTATGGAAATTGTTGAAAAATGTGAAAGTCTTGCACACTTCAGTTTTGAGATATCTAAGGGAGAACTCATGACATTAGATATGCAGGGCAGTGGTCACAGCTTGTATGACCCTGAGATAGCATCCAAGTCTTTTATGCAAGATGATGAAGTGTTGTTTTCAACTGGGAACTTGTCTCATATGGCCATAAAGAGACAAAAGCTACAGCTGACCATATAAAATTATTATTGACTGATTTAGAGATACAATAATCTGTTGTTCTGAGGCTTAATGGAAAATGAACAAAATTGGAGTGATTGCTATGTGGATTTTTGACCATTATGCATTAATTTCACATGACTATTGTTACTTCAATCAACACAAAATAACAAGAAAGCTAAAATATTTTTTGTGGAGATGAACCATTTTGACACAAAATGTATGGTAATGTTACCATACTATAACACTTGGCACTGAGGAAAATATTTATCATGACCTACCAAGTAAGCATTTACACTACCATCTAAAATCAATTTAGCCAAATATGCATTTTTAAAATAAACATTATCATTATTAAACATCCGACAGCACAGAGTCGGTGTACAATAATAATATACTAGTAGATGACGTACAACATTGCACCCAAATTGAAAGTACTGCATCAATTTATCAGTAGTTAATCTAGATAAGTCCTATTTTTCAGGCATTAAAATTATCCTTGAGATACAAATATGCTCTCCAAAAGTCTTTAGCTTCGATTTCATGAATATCAGGCAAAATTCTTTCACACCTTCTCCTAAAATCAGGTTCTAGGAAGTCATCACTGACATCAAGCACACCGGAAATTTCAGCCACTTCTCGAAGTTGTTCATTTGTAACAGGTAATTCTAAAATAGAAAAGTACAAAATGTCACACATTAAAATAGTCTTTATTACTACTGTATAATACCATCCAATCTTTCTGGGGTGGTTGTCATCCAGACCTCTAGTACAACTAAATGTTTTCCCATGTCCGTTTCTCCCCTAACCTATAATACATAATATCAGTGATGTGCAGTAGGTTGGGAAAATCTGAGTTCTGCTCTTAAGCAAAAGATGATTCAAACGCAAAGATTAATTGCACTTGGGTTCTTTGTGGTGATGCTTAAGGTCAAACAAGGAATGGTATATCTAGAACAATTTAATTTTCTATTTTGGCACCTTTTTTGTCCTGCTTGCCCCTAATTCGTACTGCCTAAATCCTGAATTTTAGTTCAAAACTTAATATATTCTTAGATTCATAAAATTACTTTCACAATCTGTTTTAGTGTGTGTGTGTGTGTGTGTGTGTGTGTGTGTGTGTGTGTGTGTGTTTTTTAACTTTCGGATCATCCAGGTCCCTACATACCACACTGTTCCAAGCTGTATTCCTCTGGAAAGTTATGTATATGGTCAGGAATCCCAGAGGGTAGAACGGTATCCTTCTGTGCTCTAATGCGATGACTATTCCAAACACAGTCTTTGAATGTATCCAATTCACGTTGAAGCAACGGTATCATTATATATGCTAGCAGCATCCTGTGAAAAAATTTATATTTAAATTAATTTTTAAAAATGAAAATATTACATTTTAATTCTCCAAAAAGTACCTTCGCTGGGAACGAAAATCACATTTTAACAATGTTCAGAGCAAGATCCCTGCTGTTATATCTAATTAAAAGACGCACCTGGGCCAATAACCTGGGCCAATAACTTTGTGTTAGTTTTTGTGTTATACAAACTGGTACTCCAAAAATAGTGAAAAGTTGTGATCAGAATCTATTTTTTACCTTTCAAGAATGGTATCTTGTCTTGTACCTAAACACCTTCATTTGAAACATGAATAGCAGAATTGTTTGTACTTAGATCTCATTCAGATTGAGATATTTGCACTTGAAATACCAAATTTATGACATACATTTCTCATCGCTTCGTTTGACAGCATTAAGTGACATCATCATTGCACTATGAGGGAATGATCTACAGAAAGTACTGCTTTTGAAAAAATTTAACTCTCATTCTCCAGTGTCCATAAATTTGAATAAAAATCTTTTAAAAGTATTTTATATACCGGCTACAGGGGTCGAAATGTTCAGAAAATCATACTTTCCCTGCCGGGAAAGTGATTTTGTACATTACTTTCCCTGCAAGAAAGTAGCTTTCCCTGACAACAAAATCATGAAAACTGATTTCCCTGATATTAAATTAGATTATTTTAATATGATGATGAATTATAAAGGTAAGAACATATCTTTGAGAAATGAATGTTTATTGATATGAAATAAACTAACATGGCATCCATATATAGTGTTTTTTATAACAACTAGATATATTTGTCAAAATAAATGTGACTGAAATCTTAGTACCAAATACATATGCTGCATGTGTAGTGCTGACTGAAAGGACCATCACAATGGCCAAGAGAGCACAAATATTAGGGTAAATGTCTTTAAGTACAGTCAGCATTCTACTTTAAAAGGCAACTATGTCCTGGCCCTTTTCATGAAGTTCCAGCATGGATTTTTTTTAACTGAGGCCATTCAGCCTGGCACATGTTTGTTTTAAAGCCAGCTTTATCCAGTGTCCTTCTAAAATGTTCTAAAAGCCTTTCAACTGTCTCATCTCCATACTCGTCACTGTCTATATTCTCCATGGGTCCATCTTTGGCAACTAAAAAGTAAGTATTAATAGCAATTGATTGATTGAGATTTTATTGCAATTATATACAGTTACAGAGAAATAACTGGACATTGTACACTAGAATGGTAATGTGAATACTTTACTATGAATTGAAGAAAGACTCTGGACATGTCAATTATCATGTAATCATGGTCAAACCAATAAACAATGGACTTGTTCCCAGTGTGCACAATGATTAATTTCATTTGAAACTTGGGGCATTTTCTTAATAGTAGACAATTTCACACCAATTAGAAAAGGGTAAGTTGAAGAAGTGCAGTGAAATTTTGATGTTACAAACACTCCATTTTCAAAAGTAAAGGGAATAAAGATATTAGGTCCTTAATTATAAAGGCTAGAATAACCTATGACATCTTTAAAATGGTCATCAGTTTGGTAGGAGTTCAATGAAAAACAAATCAATCACTTCTCAAATAAATTAAATAAGTCCAGGTGAAGCTCTTGAGAAGAGCCGAAAAATCGAGGGTAAGAAAAACTCAGTCGGTGAAAAGGCCCATTTGTTTTCAATACATCATGTCATCAGCAAAGAGAACGAGGTAGGGCAATTTTTATGTTTACTACGTAACAGAAAAGTAAAAACGTCTTGTTTATCAATAAATTTACAGTTCATTAGAGATGAAACTTGTTAGGCATTTTAATTATTATTTACGACGTACCTGTATCGTCGCCATGTGCACCTGCTTTACCCTCATTTCTTATCCTGTCTTGAAGTTTACATGTGTCTTGTTTAGCAAGTTTGCTTGGTTTTCCCTTGCTTTCGTCTTTGATTTTCCACTTGAGGAACTCATGCTTAAAGAGATTCATTTTCTGACCATCAACCTCTGTTAGACTTGAGCCCGACTTATGCGCGCAACCTGAATCTTGCATCAGCTGATCGTGCATAAATGGCTGACCGATATTCGTTCCCCGTACTACGCTGTCTGGTGCCCATTGATTGTGTAGGCTTGGACACTGCGTTAACTTTGTTCCCGCACATTTATTTGTTTCTGTGAGCTGCGTAGGTTTGTACTTCTCTATGTTATACCTGCTAGCTGCGCAGCCTTGTTCCTTTCTATGTTTAACATTGTGTAAATGGGATAGGGAACGAGTCAGATATACCACTGTAAATGCCTGGAGAAGATTTTGATTGACAACTCTCTTAAAATTCAAAAGGAGGCCCCGTGACAAATTCTAGCTAGTCACGTGAGTGCGTCCTTAGTTTCAGAGCAAGTACTTACGTCGAGCTTACTTGCGTTGTAGAAAATGGTTAAATTGACGGCTTGGTGCCAGGAAATAAAATAACAGTTCTTCGGGAAAGCGACCTCTAAGCGTGGTTTCCCGAGAGGTTTTTGCATTTCCCGGGCATTTCCAATGATTTACCGGACGGGAAAGTAAGATTTGACATAGATTTCCCGAGCTCACAATAGCTTTCCCACGGGAAAGCGGGAAAGCAACATTTCGACCCCTGCGGCTACCAAAAAAATTGACAACACAGCTAAAAATCATTTCAGTAAAAAGAAACAATGAAAATCAGAAGATGTTATTGTTTAAGTAAACTATTACATGTTAAAATTATAATTGATAAAGTATACATGTGAATAAATAGCACTATACCTGTGTTGCTCACTTTTAGGGTCATAGTGACCATTATCCTTCAACCAACACAAGTTCATTTTGAAAAACTTCTCTAACCTTTCATGTAGTTCTCTCCACCATCTTTCAATCTAAATAGAAACAGCAGTAAGTAAATATATAGCCACAAATATTGGATAAATTTACACCAACACATTGATGGAAAACATTAACAAAAAATTCATATATATATAGAGAGAGAGAGAGGCAAGATTTCTTTAAAATCAGAATATAAATTGCTTTAAGGCGAAGAAAAAAAAATTAAAGCAACTGGACAAATTATTGTCAACCTATACCTGGTTTGAAGTTGATGGTCCATAAATAACGGAATCTGTTGTCTCATCTAGATCACCATGATGACTTCTTAGAAAGGTGTGCATGGTGGCCATCTTTCCTGTTTCTGTTCCCTTGTCCATACGTAAATATACTGCTATAGTCTTGGTTTCATACAGGTAGTCTAGATACCACCGACCAACCCTAAGCAGATCAGAATTGGTCACCCAAACTTTAAGCCAAAGTATTTTTCTGCTTGCAGTGTCTATGCAGCCATATACAGCTAGTAGAAAAGTGCTATTTTGATAGCCCATGAGTTTGTTGTGTCCGTCAACAGAGTGCACAAAATTTGCACCCCTGGATGTAAAGTTGCCCTTCTTCTGCTTCTTCTTTTCTCCGACTTTCCTAAACGCGGACCGTCCAATTCATGCATAACCGCATGAACCAAGTTTCTAGGAACATTTAACCCATGCTCTTGTCTTATTTTACGCTGCATTGCACGATATCCAAGTTGGCCACCGGGCCCACCAAGTTCCTTCCCGACTGCCCCCTTTACATCATCGACCCTTACTGTCATGTCACTATAATATATTCCAAAGTAACGGAGGTGTCTATCCAAAGAACGTATACTCCACGCGTACCTCTGATGGTCTCTTTCTACAAAACATAGTATTTTGCGTCTTTTTAGCGATTGGCTTACGTACTTCTGTAAGTCTTGCCTCAATTCATTATTGTTCTTCCATTCAGCTTGCTCCGCCATCTTAACTTTTGCGGTTGAATCGTCTGCTCACCACGCTTGAAGATTGAGCTTTCTTACGCATGCGCAGCTGTACTCAGCCATAACGCAATGCATGCAGGGATACTATGGCAGCGATGGGCAGCTTTCAAATTTTAAAATCATTTTCACTTTGCACTCGCATTTTAAAATGACTTTAAAATGCTTTTCAAATAACTTTTACTTTTAAAATGCGTTTTATTTTGGATTTGAATTTAATTTGTCTTTGCTGTTTTTAAATGACTTTTAAAATGTTTTCAGTGAAAAGTTTTATTTTTCATGTGAATTTCAGTTTTCTTTGCACTTAAAAAATACTTTTAAAATGTTTTTCCAATGAAATTTAATTTTTGGTTTGTTTTTGTTTGAAATTTATTTTTTTTAGAAAAAAATTAATCTATATTTTAAATTATGAAATTTAAAACATGTATGTGGAAAAAACATCTTTATTCCATAAAAACAATATGGCAGCGACGGGCCACCATACGCTACCAAAGGAGTCGACTTTTATAGGGGTAGCTTTAAGACCAGATCAGGGAAAGAAATCAAAGTCAAATGTCTTTGGAATAAATTAAGTATGAGAGCATGTTTTAAATGTAAAATTTATTCCCTTATTGCTTATGAATGTTGACAACTAAGATTCTGCTATGTGGTAAATAGAAAGTATAAACAATAATGAATAGTAATTAAAATGGATAGTGGCACTTTATTTATATCAGCTGTTTAGTGAAAAGTTAGTAAGTATATAGAATAAGATATAGAGTTTAAGATGAGTACATGTGCGAGGTCACATGATATTAATTTAGCTTGCATAGAAGATAGACAAATTAACAGACACTTATTTTGTTTATTTCTATTTCAGTTTTCATATAGTTGTTGTTTCACATAGTTGATGTTGTAGTCAAGACAAATTGTCACAGATGTAACCAGTTGTTGCTGTAAGCAAGCATATATCATCACCAGCAACTGTTTGCAATCTCCACTGGTTATTGAAAGCAGAAACTGTCACCAGTTGTTGTATTCAAAACTTGACACCAGTTGTTACAGTACAGTTGTTTTACTTTAAACTGTCATCAACGTGAGTTGTCAGAAGACACCTGCAACAGTGAAAACTCGGAGAAATCTAAAGGAACTGAGACAAAATGAACATAGAGGACTGAAATAGTTTCAAGGGTTCTTTTTAAATGAACATTCCTATTGTCCTCTCGGGACATTCAGGATAAAGTGAGAATACTAGGCCTTCTAGAGTCATTACGCGGTTAACCTTCATAGAAGTCGTCTGTAAAATGCAGCTACTCACAGTTAGTCCAAGTGTACAGACAGTTTATTGCTATGATGCAAGCAGTTTATTAGAATTTCAGAGGATTGCAGGGTATACTGTAATCACAAGTACCTATATTGTTTGAAAAATAATACTTAGACAATTTCCAGTGAGTTTTAGGCATGTGATATCATGTAGTGATATTACATTAAGGTGAAATACCCTTTAATCACGTGCCTGTATTGTTTGTGAAATAAAACTTTGACATTTTCAACAAAAGGCAAGTAATATCATGTTGTAATATTACATGTCATTTATGTGAAACATCTTTGACAAGTTACACTTGTCAGCCTAACTGTATTGAAACGAGTTTCAAGAATGAAGGAGTTTGTGCAAGAAAACGTCCGTCTCACAAAGAGTATTCTGGAAAAAATGGAACGTGTTTCTGAAACGCATGTTTCATCAAATTCTCTCGTAGAAGAGAGGATAGAGGCTGGTAAACAGGGTGAGACAAGCGGTAATCATGAGTTTTAGACACTTCTTGTTATGGTAACATATCTAGCTAAATTTGCCCCTAACCTGTCAGTGGTTACTAGCCCCCTTCACAAGCTACTTGCGAAAGATGTGATTGTTCACTGGAATAATGAGCATGAGAAAGCTCTCAGTAAAGTAAAAGAGATCATCATAGAGACCCCAAGTCCTACATTAGCGTATTTTGACCCCAGCCAGGTCACTACTCTACAGACTGGTGTCTAGGTGCAGGATGGGAAGCCTATAGCATATGTGTCCAAAGCTCTGAATGCTTCAGAAATTAACTATGCCCAGATAGAAAAAGAGATGTTTGGTATAGTTTTCGGGCGCAAGAGATTTCATCAGTATGTTTATGGCAGTAAAATAGTAGTAGAAACAGACCACAAGCCCTTGATACCTATATTCAAGAAGCCCTTGAATACAGCTCCTCCATGCTTACAGAAAATGCTGTTACAGCTACAGCGATATGATCTTGAGGTGATTTACAAATGAGGTACAAGTCAGGTGAGGAAACAAGTTCATAAGGTGGGGAATTTGAGATGCGCAGATTGGGCAGTAGTATAAAAGGAATCATGAGCCAGAGAAAGTTGTATCAGTAGTTTGAAATCCATCATTGATCAAATTTACCAAATAACTGATGTTGATACTCTGACTGCTTATGATGGAAAACTGAGTGAGATGCTTTTTGACCTCTGTAGCAGAACACCTACCGTAAATTCCTTACCAAAGAAGAGAAAATCTCTGAAAAAAAGGATCTCTGATCCAAAAAAGAAGAGATATGGTGCTATACCATTTGCATCATACGGTCGAAAGAAGAACAAGTTTTCATCCCGGTTTGGTTCACATGCTGAAATTATGAAATGAAGTTACAAGGTTGATGTCCCACTTTCTTCCAAACAGAAAACAACTGCAATAGTTACGAGACCAAAACCAAAAAATGTAGTGACAACAAATGAAGAAAAGATATGGTTGCAGATTGGCAGGACTACCCTCTATGATATAGACTACCACACACTGACCTACAAGAATGGCTGGCTGAACGACAAGCATATTGACGCAGCACAGCAGTTCATGAGAGTACAAATAAAACTTTATTTTGTCATAACAAATGGGGGCTCGTCCGGGAAATGAATATCAATATAAAGCCATGCCTTTTGGTATGAAGAACAGTGGGGCCACCTTTATGAGGTTGATAAATAACTCTCTGAATGGATTGGAGGGTGTAGATGCATATATAGATGATATTGTTCTCTACAGCAATACATGGGAAAGTCATTTTAGCAAATTGCATGAAGTCTTCAAAAGACTTAAAGAGGCAAACTTAACCATGAATTTGGCCAAATGTGAGTTTGTCCAAGCTAGAGTCACTTATTTAGGACATGTTGTTGGTCAAGGCATGGTCTTACCCATGAATGCAAAAATAAAAAGCATTAGAGAATTTCCTCTTCCACAGAATAAGAAAGAGTTGATGAGATTCTTAGGAATGACAGGATACTACAGAAGATTTTGTAAAAATTTTTCTGATGTCGCAGCACCACTCACAAATTTGCTTAAAGGGTTTGCTTCATGCCGTCAGAATGGCCTGAACGGAACATATTCTTCAGAAAACATGCCCAGCTAACGATATCTTTATCCAAATACACAAATTAAAAGCTCATTTTGTAAATTTTTGGCTTTAAAAAACGTCCTATTTGCTCGGCCTGAGAGTTAATGAGCTACGTTGTCACGTGGTCTGATGACGACAATCGAGCCACTGGAGAATAGAGCGTGCTTAGCTGCTAAACTGAGCTGCATTGTCTACCTGTAAGATTACTTCTCTGGCTTCTGATAAAAGTTTATACTCATTCAAATCTCTTACCCGAGGGGTCTAAATCCTCGTGAAGCTGTGTAAAACCATTTCCCGTCTAGTCAATTCTTTAACAAGCATTTAATCATGGTTATCCCAAGTTGTATAAAACACTGCATTTGAATGAGTTAAGGGAAATGTTGATTATTGCATATGAGGTCCATGTTATTTGTGAAATTCAATTTTATTAAACCGCTGACACTCCGTCTTGCATACTTTTATTAAACTGAGGTAAACAATGCCCGTTACCTTTACAAGTCCTATCTTAATCATCCATCTAACTGGAACTTCCTTTACCTCTTAATTAGAGGGTTAAATGGCATTCAATTT